GAATGGTTACTACAATGGACACACCTTTCACCGCATCATAAAGGTAAATGATGACCAATTATCCTTTGTAATATGAGTTGCACAATATTTTTTTAACCTCAGGCCCATTCTAGACACAGGAGAATGATGTAGTAATGAGGTGTCTGAGAACTGAGGTGGTGGAATGGAATGTACCACTTCAAATTGCAGGTCAGGCATTACATTTTTCAAAAGCTCCCCTGATGTTCTTGAGAGATTGGATCCACTTGTTCTGGATGGACTGGAGGTGGCATTTGCAGAACAGGTTAAGAGCTTGGGGGGGGGGGTTTCCATGGAACCAGCCTTGACTGATGAAAAGCAGGTTTGCACAGCAGCCAAGACTGCCTTATATCAGCCGCAGCTTCTCTCTTTTTTCCTAGACTCAGCTGATCTGGCCACATTGATCTGTGCTTTTGGAACCTCATGGTTAGATTAGTGGAACATGCTGTACACTGGGTTGTCAGTGGAGACAACTTAACTGCAGCTGGTTCAGAATGCACCACCCTGACTTCTGCAGTTTGCCCTATGTAGGGCTAATAAAAAAGAAAAGAAAAACAGAATGCACCACCCTCATTATTATCAGGGGCTAGCCAATGGAAGCCTGTGTTGCCCATTTTTAGACTGCCAGTTGTTTCCAGTCTTCTGGCTGTTCCCCCACTGAGGGTGACCTGTTCGACATTGCAGCCCCCTCTCCGCCCTCACGGTACAGTGGGTCCTTGAAGAGGTGAGGGGAACGGCCTTGCTGGTGATCTTCAGGAGGCACTGCAAGGCTTGTTTGATTGCCACAGCTTTTGATGTGGTATCCACAGCAAGCATCTTGTCAAAAGGGGAAGAATTTGGGGCTTTTAATTATTACTTGTAAGATGGCTTGAGCTAAGAGGAAAGGTGGGGTATAAACATTTTACTAAATTAATTAAGTGGCTATAAACAAAGCTAGCACACTATATGAAGGACTAGACTAGAACCTTCTTGTTTGCAAGCTCTTACATGCTGGGAGTCATTAGGAATGTAGCCCCCTTACTACCATCTAAAGTGCTCATTCTGCCACAGCATGGATAGAATATCTCAGTTCAATGGCCATTGCTTTGATGTGATGTTAGAAGGCTGGGCTACATCAGTCTTTGATTTGTCAGTGCCAAGATGACTGTGTGAGATATCTGATCATGTTATGTCAACTCATAACCAAGATCTGCATGTCGATTTTGTGGCCATATTTCCAATTTGTATTTGTGGCACATAAGCCAACAAACTGCTACAGACCTTACTCCATCCAATTTTAAAATGTATCCTCAAAAGTGGTAGGTAAGGCCCATTAGGGAAAAATCCAGAAAAAGAGAGTTCCTTGAGTCCCTTCTAGGGAGAGAGGCAGGTTACAAATATTTGAAACAAATAAAATGTGAAAGATCATCAGTCTGGATGTTAGAATGGGAAGAGAACTGATGTTGTTACACATGATTGACAAGCTCCAGTTTGCAGTAGGCAAGTATAAGGTGGATGGAGATGTTACATAGGCTTTATTAGGATAGGCTGTGCTTAATGCAGTAAGACTCTAGTTTTAAACCAGAGGCTGCAGGCACAGAAAATGGCTGTTCTCCTTTTGTGTTTTTATAAGCTAGCAGTTCCCACCCTCTGTCACTCGCTAGAACACATGAGCCCTTTTAAGGGCAGAAAGCAGAAGCAAAGAAAACACGGGAGTGCTTACATTAGCAAACCAGGAAATTAATTGTAGATGGTGCACTAGATAGGCAATCAATAGAAGCCAAATTGGGTAGTGTTTCCTACTGTTTGGAGGGCATGTATCTAACATAGGCAAAGTCCCATGTGCCTTCAGCTGCAGGATCCTAGTCCTGGGTAGTTAAGTGTTTTCTAAACAAAACAAAAAATCCAGAAGAAGCAGTAATATAATTGTATATATTCTAATAAATCACAAAAACAAGAGAGCTTTTCAGTTCTTAAACATAGCTCACACTGGATATTAAGCTGCAACAAAAAGAGAAGGGAGAAAACTGTATAGTGGACATTTGTAAGAAATCTGACTCAGAGTTATTTTAATTAAGGATCCTGGTGGTATAGTATATTGAACTGGAAGACCTCTTGAAGGATTGTTGCCCCTTTGGAAGCCACTGAGAATAGAATGATGGTAGGGAAAAGAGCAACAATAGTTGGTTCAGATAAATCCCTTTGCTTAACTCATAAAACAGCAAAAATGATGGTATAATAGAATGCAGGTTATAAAGAGGATATACAATATAAGTGGGCTACAAAGTACCAGTTCAGTGTTAAATACGTTGCTTTACCAAGCCTAATTTGTCACACTGTGGGCAGTAAAAACACTTATTTCCAATGCAGGGTTTCATGATTCAGACTGGTGACCCCACAGGCACTGGGATGGGAGGGGAGAGCATCTGGGGAGGAGAATTTGAAGATGAGTTCCACTCAACTTTACGACATGACAGACCCTACACGCTTAGTATGGCCAACGCAGGACCAAACACCAATGGCTCGCAGTTTTTCGTAACAGTAGTACCAACGGTAAGTAACATAATTCTGCCATCTGTCTGTAAACATAGCTGCAACTCCCTGTTGTGGTGTCTCAGAATTGGAGGGAAGCAGGGCAGAGTTCTCTACAGGAAATGGAGTGGATGTTGAGGTGGAATTACAGCAGGTTGGGATGCTGCTCCTGCCCAGTAGCATTTGATGGTTGTGCATCTTTACACTATGACTAGGGTCTTCAACTCTAATCCCCCCAACTACTCTAGTTTGAGGCTCAGTCTGTTGAGGCTTGGTTCTTGCTGAAGAAACAGTAAACCTACTTGCAGGCTGTGATTAGAAGTGAGGGCTTTAATCTTAGGCTTCTCGAGGAATCTACAAATTTTGGCCCAATTCTGGTTGGCTAACACAAACTGCCCAGCTCTAGGGACTAGCAGGGTTTAGTGTTTCGTGATGTATTGAGCTTTGGAGGGGTTCAGAAGTAAGCATTGCTGTTATGGAGCCTCAGCATGCTCTAAAAATGAAGCTCCTGCCTTCTCCTTGACTCCTGAGAGAGACTTTAAAAATTTTCCCAAGTGCACCTGCTGGGATGAGCCTTCTCTTCTGTCCCCCCTGCCCCCACTAAACCTGCTAATTTTCCTATTTATTTTCTTCATTTGAGAATTTTTCTGCACAGTATGGTTGTTTTTCTTTCAAACTTCCATTTGTTTCCCCTTGTTTAAGTTATTTTCCAGCCTCATGAGTGGTGTTTCCCTTTTCTCTTTTTTTACGATTTCTGTTCCATCTGCTATTTTACATGTGTCTGAATTTGGCAAAAACAGCACTCAAGATTTTCACTGTACCTAAAGGGGTCTCAGATTCTGATGGGCAGCGTATTGAGGCACTCCTTTCTAATGCTAAAAACCAGTGGGATATACCAGTGGAAATATTCTCCTGTCTCTTCCTCCATTGCTCATGGGACTTGGATTGGCTGTTCTCAAATTGTTGGGAAGGATCTGCAAGCAGAATTGCCTGTGGAGCTACTAGTAGGCATGATTCCACAATTGGCCTGCTGGCTTCATAATATGAAGGCTTTCAGTAAGCTAAATGAGTGTGGATACGTCAGCCTACAGGATGTTCCAATATCAGTAAATAGATAAATTTCCTCAGAGTGTTAACAGGGAACTTAACTAACATTATGGCTTTGGAAATATAGATCACAAAATTCTTACTCCCCAAAACCTCTGACTTTTCAGCTGGAAAAAAACTGAAAATGTGCATTTCAAGTCTTTCCAGGCCTTAACATTTCTAGTCATTATGAAAGATAACATCAACAGTTTACATTTAACTTGAAACAAATCTACTGCATTTTGATGTTGCTTCTCTTCCTTTATATAGCCATGGCTGGACAACAAGCACAGTGTTTTCGGAAGAGTAACCAAGGGAATGGAAGTTGTTCAGAGAATTTCAAATGTGAAAGTCAATCCAAAAACTGACAAACCCTATGAAGATGTCAGCATTATTAACATCACTGTGAAATGAAACAATTTCTATATATACTTCGAGATAGGACTTCCATTAGACTGAGTGGTGGTATCTTAGTGTTTCTGAAGCCAAGCTTCAGAGCTGACATAAGCTTTTCCACTTATCATGTATTTGAGATGGTATCAACAATATTTTAAATGTTTTATAAAATAAAAGCCTACCGTATTAGTAGTCTGATTTTGTGCTGCTCTGTATAACAAGGTAGGTGCAGTCCTGATTTCTAGACTTTAATGGATTAGAATGGCTGCTAGATTCCTAACTCAAAATAAAAGAGCAACAGCAGCATATAATCCACAACTATGGTAAATTTTCACTTCTCTTCATCTTAGTTCAGAAAAGATGTTGATGTGTTAAAGTGGAGTCAGAAAGTGATCATTTAGAAAGCAGATCTTCTAAGCCACCTAGATGGCTGGATCTCTGTTTTCCAAGTACAGACTAAAATGCTGCACTTCAGGGAACAAGACATTAGTGGGGAAAACAAGATCTTGGCCATTGTTTTTTCCAACCCTCATGCATCCAGGCCCATCATTGTTTCCCTTATTTGTTCTGAAACATAGAACACCAGTGATAGGAGGCTGGATCCCAGTGAAAGGGAAACAACAATTTTTGCCAATTTCTCCCAACCAGCTGCAAGTCATATTCACCAGGCTGAGGCATACCTACCCCTCTAAAGTAGCATTTCAAGGCATGTGGTTGGCTGCAGTGTAGGGTGGGGACAGTCAAAGGCCCAGTAGCAGAACTTGCCAGCAGGAAGTACTTATACATTGGGGGGAGGGGAGGGGAATCTTTAGAGACTGCATTTTGCTGAAAAATAAAGATTAGTGGGGGGGGGGGGTTGTAACTGAAAAAGTATCATCAGGAATCTTTTGGTTAAATAATTTTTATTAAGTCCAAGGCCATTCTGAAACTGCACCAGTACAATCATGAAAAGCTGTTCCTATTTAGCTGTTTTGTTACTTGGTACAGTTGTTAATGTTTGGACATGTTGGTGCAATAAAAAAATCTCCTTTTACCTCTGATCATTCCGAATTCAGAATTAGAAAGTTAATTTGTTACATACAGTTAAAAGGTAGAATATATCAAGAGACGAAGCTTTATATATTACATTACTTTTGAAGCAGGGAGTTTACCTTTGTTACATTTTAGTTTCACAGTTAAAAACTCTATGATCCAATGGTTTTAGGAACAAGTCTTTTAGCCCAAGAGTTGCTTTTGAAGCAACCTATCCTAGCCTTAAAAAAAAAAGTAATTGGAGTTGAAAACACTTTAAAACTGGCACACATCAGTACACCAAACAAAATTAGAATGCAACAAAATATTAAACAAGCTTTAAATTTACAATTAGTTATATACAATACAAACAAGCTCCTAAGTGTTTCTGGGTAATACTTAAATTCCAACGGCTGCAACACCTATTTTCACAGTCACTTCAAATTGATTTCAGTTATATAATACTTTTATGCAAGCACACTACCTTTTGTAGCAGAACTTGACATGTTGGGAATAAAGAACAACTAAGTTTTCCAAAACAAGTATTTTCTCCACAGTACCCTACATCAACATTTTGAGTGTTTTACAATAAGCAGAGTGCCAAAAACAGCAAAGCTACAGCAATTAAAGCCACTTGCAAGCTGACAATTCACATTTAGCCTTCCCAACTGCTGCATACCAAGTGATATCATGCATTTTAATAGTGTTCTAAATATAGTGCAGAAGTGAAAGTCTGCCTTCTTTACTTTAAAGGAAGCCTCCACCCAAATTATTTCAAAAACACAACTGTGCCTTCTACCTAAAGCACCTTGCAGTACATTTCGAGTGGGATATTAGTTGAGGCAGAAAAGAGTTTGGGGTAAACAAGCTCTAATTCTGTTTTGGACAGCAAACCACTCACGGTAACTAAACATGATTCAGCTACTAGTGAGACTGGTACCTAATGCAGAAAATCTTCCAAACCCCCCCTCCCCACAAAAAAACAGTAAGGAAAGTTTGTAATAGAGTGTGATTATTACACTGTATATTCTAAGCCTTGTTCATTGCATAAAAATATACCAGAAGTCACTCCAAGACTTCACTGTTCTACACTGAATATTCTGTAAATTCAGAAGACGTTTAGCTCAGTTCTTTCAGACAGTAAAAATAAAACCAAACTTTTCTACATCAGCCTACACAGAACACGAACACTCCCATCCACCAAAACATTAAAGTATCTAAATTGCAGTATGTAATGCTGGTTACAAAAGCAAGCATGTTTCATCCACTTCAAACGCTTGTAATGTTGTTGCTGAGGAGACTAATCAGGTCTTACAAATTTATTGAAAAGCTGCTGGTGACATGCTCTGTGTACGTTTACATACCAAAGATACACATAATTGCTGCTTTTTCATACATTCTCCAGAATCAACAATGTGGTGGGCGAGAATTTATTCAGGGCTTTTGAGGGGGGTAGTATAGAGTGAAGAAATAAGTAGTTTCAAGCAGGCAATACAGCCTGAGAAGAAACTATTACTGAAACACTATCCACAGCAGCTCTCATGAGACTTCCAATGTGGAATTAAAAGCAACTCTTGACTTTCCTGAATATCACAATTATTTAAGACATAGAATATGGAGAGCCAATTAAAAAACCCATTTCTATAAAGTCCCTACACCAGCAGGTTTGCTAGGAAATTCATGTATATAATGCAGAACTAACATTCTTACTGTGTCCTGTCAATGTACATGTCTTCTTTCCTCAAAGCGCCATGTACAAATCAAACAGGCTGGATCAAAGCACTAGCAGGATCTTTGTGTCATTATGTATGTTAAATGTTGCCTTGACTGACAAAATACAAAAAGATGATCAAGCGCCTGATCATGCTGAACTGTTAAGCAAGTTAAATGAGTATCGTTCCTTACAGTTTCCCTGCCCCTCTGTAACAACCTATCTGACAACACAAAAATGTGACAAAAAGCAAACAGAACCACAGCCACGTAGAACTTGGGAATGCTCACTACAAATTTAAGAACAGAAGTGAAGTCACTGTGACTGGGAAATATGGTACATTTCTTATATAGAGGTGTTCACAGAACGTACATCATTATGTCCAAGACTCTTGACTTTCCTGCCAAGATGCACTGAAGATATTATGGATGCTCTTAAGGAGAAGAGGATATGTAGTAAAATGAATAGTAAAGGGTTAACTGAGACCTGATTATGGGTTGGAGGAAAATTCCATCCCCGGAAAGGTTTTTCTTACTTTCAGTTTCTGTGTTAGTCTGAAGTTGGTTGCAATCAAGCAGTTGTGTTACATTCAGTAACTCATGGAAGTACCAAGATTTATTTAATTACCACAGTGAGATCACAAAATTGGCGACAAGGGTACAAAGCATGGCTTCGTATGGAAAGACTGGGGAATTTAATCTAGAAGAGGAGGACTGGCAACAATATATTGGAAGACTGGGCCACTATTTTCTGGCTAACAAGATCACAGATGCAGCTAGACAGAAAGCAATATTTCTCACTCTCTGTGAGAGCAAAACCTATTCCCCCTTCCAGGTTACGGAAGATTCTAAAGAAACTGACCTTTCCAGACCCAGGGATAATGAGGCAGCAGAAACACACAGCTATCCAGTGACAGCAAGAAGATCTCCAGATTATTTGAAAGACTGTAATTTGGGTGATTACTAAAGAAGAAGAAGAAAACTTAAAGGGGGAAAGATGTAGTAAAATGGATAGTAAAGAGTTAACTGGGACCTGATTATGGGTTGGAGGCAAACTCCACCCCCTGGACTGTTCTCTTTTCTTACTTTCAGTTTCTGTGTTAGTCTGAAGTTGGTTGCAACACAGCAGTTGTGTTACATTACTTTCAATTGGTTGCAACACAGCAGCTGTGTTTACATTCAGTAACTCAGGTGAGTACCAAGATTTATTTAATTACCAGGGGCTATGCATCAGGTCACATCAGAAATTGACAAAAAGGAACAACAAGTACAAGGAATTCAAATCTCAACAAGATCATAAGATTGGCAGGCAGGAGGAAGAGTGAAGGGTGTCAGAAGCTACACAACAAACTCTAAAGGAAAAAAACCCTACACATTTAGAGTAATGTCCTTTTGCAAACTCACATGAAATACATGTGTCACAGATGGGCAAGTCTGACTATTTTTATTCCTCTCTAACAAGCTTAGACAGCTGAAATCTAGGCTCTTTATCTGTCACCTACACAATTACATTAGTGGCAGCACACAGGAAGAACTTCAGCATGTCATACAGCTGGCACTTCTGCAAAACTGTGCTTTTTGTTCCAAGAACCTCCAAAATGGGAGATGAAGGAGTTTGGGGGCAGGGAATCACAGGGGGGCTTTGTTCGAAGAGGCTTATATGAGGGAGAGAATATTTAGAGAAACAGAGAAGGCAATCTAGAGAAGAAGTAATAGACAACCCTCTGGAGCTGAAAAGATAATCCAATCCTCACAAAAATATTTGGGAAGAATGGGTGAGGAAACCAATAGCAGAATAGGCCTGGGGTTCCCCAATATCCTCAGAGAAGAGCGTGAAACTCTACAGGGCAGCCTGAGGTAGGCCTTGGGGTCCCACAGGTTCAGGAATCATCTTTACTATGTATATCTTGCTTAACAAAGCACTTTGCCACTTCTACCATTTGAACTACAAAATTACACCAGCTTCCTCTCATATTACAGTTGTTGAACCTCCTGAACTCACGCAGCTTTTGATGAAGAGACAGCATGAAGGGGGGGAAAGCTGGCTAGAAATTCAACTGACTATTAATCATGCTAATAAATGTTCACCTAAGGCAGGGACCGCAACTAACTTTTGTGTTGATGAATGAAGTGAGGAAGGGTTTCTTCTGAACTCCCAAAAAGGTTTTGCTGCAGATTATGAGAACTGCATGGATAAAAGCCATGTGAGACATGGGTTGTAGTAAGGAGGAAGGATGGGCAAGATTGAATGGAAAAGATGGGTCCACCCCATTATTTGTGCAGAAAGTAACTGACCATGTCCCACAAACAACAAAATGAGTCAAAAGCAATATCTCAACATCACTTTATCAGTCATTCAGATACAGCAGCTGCTGCTGAATGAGTTTCATTAAATACCATATGGGGAATATTTTGCTGTCAAATGCCAAAGGAGTCGATGAACATTTCATAATCATGAAACATTTCATTGTTATGAAGATCTGTCCCTGAAGTTCTGCTGTACTGAATGTGAGAGTTTTTTTGTTCATATTTCATTGCCAATGTTTTCAGAGTAGTATTTACAGATATTCTACAATTCCTATGCCTCAAAAGAAGAATATACATGAAACCATTTTTCCAAGACATAATAGGAAGCACAAAGTGGTAAAAGTGTTTAGTGTCAGCTGCCCATAGATGTCTTTCTAGCAGTAAGGAAGGGTGTGTGTGTTAGCAAGTGGTTAGCACAAACACAGAGAATTAATTACAAAGAAGCAACAGAAATTACAATCTGGGACCAGGAGCCACAGCATGATCTGAAAGATTAGTATTAGTATTGAGTTTGGTTTTCTTATTTTCAGCATTGGAAATCTCCTGCTACATTTTATCACTGCAAGTTTTTAATAGAGACAATGCCAAGACGCACTTTTACACATCTTTGCATGTTTTCAGATTTAGAAAACAAAATGGATTTCAGTGAGGCTGTCCATGAAAACAAACATGTCAAATGCCAAATCCTGAAAGTTAATGGTGTGATAAGAGATTGGAGGGAGGCGAAAAGAAATTTCTTTTAAAAATCAAGGCACCTTTCCTGCAAATCTGTCAAACCCACTGTATTCATTTACCATAATTTCAAACATAAAGGAATCACGCAATCACTGTACTACACCACTAAAGCATTCCAACAGCACTGTTAGTTGTTTTCTTTAGGAAACACAGCTCTAGATACAAAGTTCATGTTTAACCATCTCAAGTCACACAAATAAGTTAACCAAAGTTCAAGCGTCATGGTTCAACAGGAACTTAAGCGACATCAAGTACACCTGCAGCCACCAGGTGTCTTGACAGCCAGTCCAGTCCTTCATAGAGTCCCATACCACTTCGGGCGTCACAGCCTTGAATGTACCAGTTTCGTCCACAGCACAGTTTGTGAAGACTCAGCAATTCTGTGATTTCTTCTACTGAAAGTGCCCCTGCCACATCCTGTAAAGTACAGCCAGACACGCATTAAATTCACAGACTGCAGCTTCACAGTCAAGTCGTTTTACTGAAAAACGCAACATATTAAGAACAACTTCACGGATGTTCTACAGCCAAACTGATCTGTCCAAAGGACACAAGGGCGTATCTTTATCTAACAAAAAGCAGTGAATTTCACTACAGTTCTCTGAATACAGATTAGTTTTCTTAGGACAGCTTTTAAATTTTGCTTCACATCCCTACGAATGTATTGCCAAATAGAACGGCAGCATGGCAGTAAAGAAAGGAACCACAGTACCTGCTTATTGGCAAAGATCAGTAGCAAAGCATCTCGCAACTCCTTCTCTGTTAACAGCTTGGCAAGTTCGCTGTGTGCCTCACTGACCCTGTCTCGGTGGCTGCTATCAATAACGAACACCACCGCTACAGAAAAAGAACCAGTACCTGGTTATATTTTTGCATGTGTATATTTTTCATTCCATTTTCAGACTATCATGTGCACAAGCAAGTATGCTAACTGGTGTGTGAAGGGAGAACAGACATCAGTCCTATAAATGACATTTTAACTAGGTTTGGAAAACATCCTTCAGAACATGCTTATTACTGATAATGAAACCAGTTAATGTAACTTTATAAACTGGCATCAGACAGCTGCAGTGTCAAACTGAATCATGAAAGTAAAAAAAAATGCAGCGGATTGCTTGAGAAAGTTAAGCATCTAAAGTTTCAAATGCCATTTAAACTGGTTGTATAGCTAATCTAGGAGCTGCGATGGCTCAAGTGGTTAAGACGCTGAACTGCAGGCTGTGGAAGGTCAGTAGTTCAGCAGTTCGAGACCCGGGTGCTGCAAGACGGAGTGAGCTCCCGTCTCTAATTCCAGCTCCTGCCAACCTAGCAGTTTGAAAGCAAGAAATTCCAAGTAGATAAATAGGTACCACTTCAATGGGAAGGTAACAGTGTTCCGTGCGCCTCGGTGTTTAGTCATACCGGCCACATGACCACGGAAACGTCTTCGGACAGCGCTGGCTCTTCGGCTTAGAAACGGAGATGAGCACCGCAACCCTAGAGTCGGACTCGACTGGCTTTCGAGCAAGGGAGCCTTTACTTTACTTTACTATAGCTAATCTATGATACCTCAACACACAATCATGCAAATCAGTCTTCACAGACACCATTATCAGACAAAATATTATTTGGCAACTAAATCATATTCATGTCTATTTTAAAATAATACACACATGGACTTCAATAGAACCTACTTTCTAGTAGATAAATTCATGACTACAGGCTTAGAAAGAAGCCTAGCAATCTTCCACTATCTTATCCTATAAGCTATATTTATTTTATACTTTAATTCATAAAATATGTGCTCACTCTTACCTTGTGTGTTGAGGTAATAATGTTTCCATAAAGGTCTCAGCTTGTGTTTACCTCCTACATCCCAAATAGTGAACTTCAGATTTTTATATTCTACAGTCTCAACATTAAAACCTAAGAGGAAACAAAAGCTTGCAATTCATATTTCTAACAGATTGTTTCTACATAAAATATTATTTCCAAGTCACTGTTACTTGCCTATTGTTGGAATAGGTTGCATGAACTCATCTTGCTTTAATTTAAATAAAATAGTTGTTTTGCCAGCACCATCTAATCCCAGTGTCACAACTCGAATCTCCATTTTTGGCCCAATGTGTACCCTGTTGTCCTGAAAGCAAGAGAAATAAAGAGAGTGCCTTGAAGAGGCATCGTCAGAACTAGAGACCCCAAGCAAAGCTACTTCCATACACCGAGTGATCTTCTAGAGTAGCCTTCAATGCAGTCAAATAAGAAAACAGCAGATGGGCATTTCCTGGTCCATGAATGGAGGTGGGCAGGCATACTGTGCTCTTTGGATCTCAGCCGTGGTATCTTATTGAGGATATAGATATTTCATGTTCAAGAATGCAGCCTGCATCGGTGAGTTAAGAGCGAGAGCAAACCCAATATCATACGATTGATACTTAAGGGAGTGCAGGAAGGTGAAAAATAGAGTTGCCAGCTCTGGGTTAGGAAATACTTGAGAGATTTGGGGGGTGGAGCCTGAGGTGAGTGGGGTTTGGGGAGGGGAGGAACCTGCAGGATATAATGCCACAGAGTCCACTTTCCAAAGTGGCCATTTTCTCCAGGTGAACTGATCCCAGATCTCCAGCCACCACGTGGAGGCGGACAACCCCAGTGAAGAATCATACACAAAAATCCTTGTTAGGAAGAGATAAGCAATAGTAGCCAGATTTTTTAAAGAGCCACTAACAAGTGAAAAATTAATTTAGTATAAACACTAAATACTAAGCTATGAAGTGACTAATTTTTCCCACTGATCTGAAGCTTCTTGTTTGGTAATACAACATTCAATATCAGAAGGATTTCCATTTTAGCCTTTTGAGACTATGCAAAATAAGCAAATACAGTGTACTAAACTGACACTTATACAAACTCTCAAGGCTATGCAACTCAGAATCAGCAGTCCTTCACCAGCCATATGTAAAATAATGGAGGGTGACAGGCAGCTACTGTGCTTTGTGGCATCTGTGGGCAGGTAAGAAATGGGAAACAGTAGGAGGAGACTCTCGCCTCCTACTGATTACGGATTAGGGTATCTATTTTATCCTTGTAAAATGTATATGACTTGATAACGAACAAGGCTTAGAAGTCATACATGGGGAGGATTTAATTCTACTTTCAGCCAGACACAATTAACTTCTCATTGGAACACAGCTGAGCGTTTTCCTTCACTGAACACTCCTTCCCTGAACTGTGTTTCAGATTATGAGTAATGTGAAATGTGTTTGCTAGTGGGGGGTGGGGGGTAGGAGAGGAAAGAGTACAGAAGTCACACTGATCCAGACTATTGGCCAGAGGTTAAACAACCTAAAAATTAACAGTCTGTACCTTTGTGAAAGTGACTGGAATGCTAGCATCAAGTTGTATGTCGTCTGCAAGCTCTGTAAATTGCTGTTGCTGCTTCTGCAATGTTTCCAGAAGTCTTGTGATTTCTTGCTTGGCCAACACAACTCTGCAGTCATCCTGAAGTACAATACAAAGAAGCTGATTTAATGCAACAAAATCACATTGCTTCTGAGTTCTCCCTTTCAAATGCAACAAACAAAATTTACATTTATTAAACAACGTAATTTATGACTAAATGTTCAAAGAAACATTAACCTAAAGCAGTATAAATGTTTGGCTGTTTTTGAAGTAGGTTCAACTCATTCATACTTAAAAAGACAGAATGAAAGATTGGAGGGGGGAGGGGGAAGATTTGGGCTTTGCTTGGAGCTCAACTGGAAATTAACATTATTGTAAGACACCTTGAATCACAAGGAAAAGCAGGACATTAATCATGATATTGCAGATGCTCCTGACTTAAAGGGATACTAGGGAGCAAAGCCCGTTGTGGATGGAGACAACGGGCGCCTAGAAAGGTAGGGTGGGTGGGTGGAAGAAGAAAGAAAGAAAGAAGGAAGGTAGGAAGGAAGGAGGGAGGGAGAGAGAAAGAAAAGAGAGAGAGAGGAAGGAAGAAAGTTGGGGGGGAGAGAGAAAGGAAGGAAGGAAGAAGGGGGGAGGCAGGGGGGCCTGCAAAAGATTCTCCCGTCCATCCGGCTTCCCAGGTGGGCAAGAGAAGCGGTGCTGGTGGGGGGGCTAAGAAAGCTTCCCCCGTCTGTCCGGCTTCCTGGGCAGGTTGGCGAAGTGGGCCAGGAGCCGGCAGTTGGGGTGGGGGAGGGAAATCGGGCAGCTGGCCAGCCAATGGCTGACGGAGCGCATTTTGTCTCCGCTCAGTCTTACGTTGCATCTTACTCAATTATATATAAGGGAGAGATAATGCCACTGATGTTGACTGATACAAAAAAAAGGAACTGTTGTATTCAACTGATAGAACATAGGGCAATTTGCCCTTCAGTACTCGAAGTGGAATATGAGTAGTTCCCAAAAGGTTTAAAATTAGAACAGGAAAATCAAAGCAGTAGCATCCTTTTAAAATCCTGATTATATCATGAATTAATTGTGCTTTTTAAAACTTTTATTTCATCTTGGACAGGGGTGTCGAACTCATTTGTAACACAGGCCAGATCTGACCTAAATGTCACTTTGTGGAATAGTGGGGTTTGGCAATGCAATTTTAAAAAATAAAACATCAAGAAAAAGCACAAGAATCACAGCAGAAACTAAAAATATAAAATGCTCTGAGCCTAGGAACATAAAATGGCTGGGCATTGCAAGCTTCTCCCCTCCTCCCCAGGTCAAAGAGTGGCAGTGGCTCTCCAGTGTAATGTCCCCCTTTGGCTGTGGGTACCAAGGGTAGAGTACTCACTCAGGCACCCGTTCTCAGGTCCATTTAGCAGAGACAAGCTGGCTCAAAACATCAACCCTGTATTTTGCAAGGAGACAGCTCCAGCAAGCAACAGCTGCAACTATACAAAGGCTGGAAAGTGAAACTTCTTGAGCTCCACTCCATTTAAATACATTGCAGCACAGAAAAGTTGCAAAGAAAATGCGGAATGGGTTTTCCATTAAGGTCTCTGGCCCCAGATAGACTACTCTGGGACTGGAATGACAGCCACCAGAGTGAAATGACAGTCCCTGGGAGTAGCAGAAGCATTCTGGGATTGGAATGAGGGCCCTCAGAATGTAATTCCATTCTCAGAATGCTGCTGCTTCCAGCCTCTGGGCCCTAAGTTTGACACCCCTGATCTTGGACATACAAAGCTGAAGAGCTCTGTTTTAATGTTCAAGTGCAGGAATGGGAACTGACACAAAATATTAAGTCCTACATATATTTATATCTCAAAGCCAACCAGCCCTATCTAGTAGCCTTCTATAGAGATTTCTGTGCAGAGCTACATATGAACCTTAGATCACGGACCATCATGTTGGCAATTTATAAACAATAAATGTTGGGGCATTATGAGGAGGTTAGTGAATATTTTGTCTGTTGTGTTAACTGTACTTATCAGCAGTCTGCCACAAAACCAATGCTGCAATACCAGTGATGAGAAAGTTTTTCATTCTGGACGGTTATTTTAAGTCCCTGTGTTGGGTGCATTGAGTCCAGTCTGGAGAAAGGCAGCAAATCTCCACCCCAGAACTTAGCAGCATTTGGGATAGGGTTATGCAGCACAAGCCAGAAGAGTTGGAGAGGGAACTAAAACTCAGCATTTGCTGCTCCTGTGTAGTGGCTATCTCACCTCTGCTGATAGCATAACCTTGTACATGTTGACTCAGAAGTAATCATCATGGAGTTCCATAAGAGGGCAAGTCTGTGCACACTTACTTGGGAGTAAGTCCCAATGAACTCAGTGTAGCTTACTCTGAGTAAATATGCCTTGCACTGTAAATCTTCTGTAAGTGCAAATGTTTTACAGCAGGGGGTAATATTCACTTGATGCAGGTCTTGTTTGTTATATTCAACATGAGAACAGCTGCAGTCAAAGTATGCCCCAACCAGTTCCAGACGAAGCCACACTGATTCATTTCTTAGGATACCACTTAGCTCCCAGTGATCCTCATCCAAGCATAAACAGCACCACATTCTGTCCCATGCTAGTGCTATTTTGCAGAGGTGTTCTTTCAAAGAGAGAAATCAGTATGGCTACTGATTTCCTAACTCAGGAACTTTTAGCAATATCGGTTCCAGGTTCCATGGTCCACAGTAAAATCCAAACACAAAATTCATGTAATACCTTTTTAAAAGACCAACCAAAAGGACACAAAATAGGGTGCAAGCTTTTGAGTTCTGTGGAACTCTTCATCATGCTGGATGTTAACGTGCTGGGGACGGGCAGCGACAGATGCTTCAGGACAGCCAATCTCCTCCCATTTTGTTTTTAACAAAAAACAGCCTGATGAAGCATTCCACAGAACACAAAAAAGTTTACATGCTTTTTTTATTAACACCAACCAAAATGACATAAAATGTATCATGGATTTTGTTCAGTGATATTGATTTTTTTTCTTGTGTCTCTTAATTTCTTTCTGTCCTGCTTTTATGGAGCACTAACCTCTAAGATTTCCTCTACAGGGGAAAAGAATGTTCCTAATTTGAAATGTTTTGATTTTTGTCCCATAGAAGAAATTGCTGTTTTATTATTATTTAAATTTTTTGTTTTATTATTATTTAAATTTTTTCTCCTGTCTTTCCACCAAGGAGCTCAGGGAATCCATACCATCCTCTCTCTTTTGTTTTATCCTCACAACAACCCTATGGGGTAGGTTAGGCTCAGAAGGAATGCTTGTAAGTGTATATATAGCATCCAAGCTCCTGTTGTACATAAAAATATAAAGAAGGGTATAAAACAATATATATCACAGTCAATATAAGGACTGCTTAGTCTGGAAGTTTATCTTATTGTTACAGGTAATACTGTGGCAAGATCAGATTTACAACTGACTAGAAGAAAGTCATGGTTCTCTACTAGGGGTGTGAAATTTTTTCCCTTTGGTATTTTTCAGTTCAGGTCTATTGAACTTGAAAAAACTTCAGGATTCCTGGAAAAACCCAGATCCCAATACAGGTAGAGTATTCAGATCTGCGATTTTATGGAAATCCCAAGGGTCAAATAGAACCAACCTGAAAAACACAGGGGAAAAGAAAGCAGCAGCAAAGTGCTAAAAACAGCTGAGAGACTGCCCAAAAGAGCTCACCAATCAGCTGACCCTGTGGGAAGCTCCGCCTCTGCAGACTCCGCTGGGCCCTGCTAGGCAGCCTGGTTTAAATTAGATTGCCCAACAGAGCCCGCCCAGGAGCTGATCCTGTGGGGAGAGTTCTCCTTGCAGGCTCTGCTGGGCAGGCAGGTTTAAACTAGTTTTGCCAGTAATTCCCTAATATATCTGGGATCCCCCCCCCCCGTTCTCCCGAAAAATCCCAGATACATTTGGGAAGCTGAAATATACCCAAAAATACCAATAAGTTGTTTTGGGGGTATATGTTCGGTTGGGTGGACCCGAATGCACACTCCTATTGTCTAATAAGCCAAACCACAATCTGCGAATTACCTCATATAACCCAGTTATGATAAATTAACTGATTTACAGGTGGCAGTTTGGGATCCACTAGCAACCTGTGGGAGGCTTCTTGCATGTCCCTCTTGAGAACTGTTGCTCTGTATGCTTCACTAAAAACAGAGACAAGGACCCATCAGCTCCATCACACTTCGATTTTGAACCAGATACTCCTGTCCTTTCATCTCTCTTAATCCCTTGCCCTGATCCCCTCTCAGAAGACTCCCACAACCTGTTGGTGGGACCACAAACCATTCTTTGTAAACCAGCATTTTACAACAGCTGAGTTATATATACATGATATGGGGGGGGAGGGGACCCAACGAAACAGAACACCCTAATATTGCCATCATTCATATATCTAACTATGGATCTACACCACTTTATGGTGGCTCCCTTACCTGCTGCAATGTCTTCTCACAGTGAAGGCAAGCAGTTGAAACCTGTGACAACAAGATAGTCATGTCTTCTTGTTGTTGCCTGAGCCAGATCAATTTTTCTCGCACATGGGCATCAACCACACTGAGAGCCATTTCTTCTTGGCGGCAGAGGGTTTCATGAAGATCAGAAAAATAGGCTCGGACACATGAGCGGGCATTCTCTGCAGTGCCTGGGACCTGGACAATCAAAGACATGGAATCAAGGAGACAGGGCATTGAGATGCCAGTTAAAGAAAGCTTTACCTTCTACAGGGCATTTGCCCTGCTTCTGACTCTATATTGTATTTAGCTACTGAAGACATTTGCTGTAAACTTTGTCTAAAGAGGTATACTTCTTATTTCTTTAAATTGCTTCTAGCTTGCATTTTTCTGGGGAAACTTGAGAATACAATAGTGGTGAATTAGGAATACTCAAAAAAAGGACAAAATACTGTGTGTATTCAAATCCCACATTTTTTTTTTTTATACATCTCATGTTTGGGGAGTGCTAACTCCAGAATCAAAAGATTAGATGTTAGCGGTATCATGGCTCCTCATCAACCCAGCTAGTACCATTTACACAAAGTGCGCCTACTGAAAATAGCCTTAACAGTATCTGGTCCTCTGATGAGGAGCTGAGAAATGCTGGCTCACACTAGTTATTGTCAGTCTCAAAGTGCCAAATGCATAGCAGCAAAAGAGATTTATTTCCCATTGAATAATTCCGTCCCATTCAGTTCTTCTCCTTTCCTCTTCACTAAAAAAGACTGCAGAATAAAGTTGTTAACATACTCCTTTAAAAAAGAGAGAGAGAGATTACACAAGGAAACCTAAGAGTAATGAAGGGCTGATCTATACATTTGGAAAATGCATGCAGAACACAACTCTATACATCTCCAGAATTAGGGATCAGGCACAAACTACTACGCAAGATGAAGTGTACTATGTTCTGATGTTTATGTTCAATTAAATTATCCTATCACAAACAAGGAAAATATGCAAGTTGACCATTCTGTACACAAGAGAAGTTGCTATCCCTGCGTAAACACAAAGTGATCTCCTAGAGATATCAGTTAGAGGCAATTGAAAGTGATACATTTCTGAGGCTGAGTATTTAAATCTTACATACCTAGCCTGGGATACAAAGATGCTCTACATAGCCAAAGGCTTGTATTTCTTGAACAGCTGCTCTCATGCTGCCTATGCAGCCACTGAAGGGACTTTCAGAAGCAGCTGGCAATATGACCGGGGGGGTGGGGGGGGGTCGGGTCCTGCTGTTCCAAGAAACACAGTTAAAGTAGCTGTGCCAGTTTAACAAATTTTCTTTGGCTTAAGGGGCCAGACTTATGGTTCAGCTTTCAGGCTTTCATATTTTAATGACCATTTTTTTCTAATGATCGCTACCACTGGAAAAGTGGGTGGATGTGAACAAGATGCAATTTAACAAGGATAAGTGCCAAGTTCTACATCTGGGTAATAATAATGAGGAGCACGCTTACCAGATGGGGGATACACTTCTGGATAGCAATGAGTGTGAACAAGATCTTGGGAGTACGGGTGGACCGTAAGTTAAATATGAGCAGCCAGTGGGATGTGCCGACCAAAAAGGCTAATGTGATCTTGGGGTGTATCAACAGAGGCATAACATCCAAAATCGCAAGATGTCATAGTCTCGCTGTACACATCGGTCAGGCTGCAACTGGAGTACTGTGTGCAGTCCTGGAGGCTTCACTTCAAAAAGGATGTGGGCAGAATGGAGCGGGTGCAGAGGGGAGCGACGAGGATGATCTGGAGACCAAGCCCTACGAGGAAAGGCTGAGGGACGTGGGAACGTTTAGTCTGGAGAAGAGGAGGTTGAGGGGCTGCGTGATTGTGCTCTGAAGGGCTGTCACTCAGAGGAGGGCAGGGAGCTGTTCCTGTTGGCAGCAGAGGATAGGACTCGCAATCATGGGTTTAAATTAAGGGCAGGAAGGTACTGGCTGTATATTAGGGAGAAAACTTTTACAGTAAGAGTTATGTAACAATGGAATCAGCTGCCTAAGGAGGTGGTAAGCTTCCCCACACTGGCAGTCTTTAAGCAGCGGCCAGTATAGAAAGCAACTGGTTAAGAAATGAATTCATCCACCACCACTGAAGGATATAAAGCTAACATATAAAAATCAAATGAAGAAGCTTTATTACTTCTGAGGGTCACCAAGAGACACCATCATAATATCATTGTTGAAAATACTAAGTGCCACAATGAAATTTCTGGGTGCCATGGCGACCAAGCTCCTGGGATTTGTCAACCCCTGGCTAACTAGATCCTAGCCATATTCTTCATCATCATTAATTTCAGTAAAATAAATTGGTCCGGTCTGTATGGAAAGAACACACAGAGCTCCCTATGCTTCTCACCATCCCCACAGCTCTTTCTGGCTCCTGGAAAGATAATTCCTGGAGGTGATGCACAGACATAGCTGTGTGGATTGAGGGACTGGAGTAAGACGGGACAAGGGCACGAAATCGCTCCTCTTCTGCAAGCACAGCTTTGAGGGAGGGGGAGAGTTCCTCCCCTTGTCCTCCCTCCCTCTTGACCCACATGGCTAATAATCTGCATCGATCCTGCAAGGAGCTGCAGGAAAGGAGATGAATGCAGGAAAACTTTGTGACTTCCACGGATAGATGGATGGATACAAGCCATTATATTTCCTTTTCCTGAATGCTCTTGTTTTCTGCCTTCCTCTATATAACAATTTTACATGATGCTCATCACCATCAATCAATTAACAAAGATGACCTTGGCTGTACTCCACCGCTTTCCTGTTCTCCACAAGCTTTTGTGACTTGTTTCAATACCAGATGGCATGGAACACTACTATGAAAACATCCGAGGGGAAAAAAATATTCCATTTACAACAAAAATTACATGCAAGAAAAGCACAAGATGCCTTACATGTTCTGTATGGGCCATCCCAACACCATCTTCAATTATCTGTTCTCCTCCTTCTATCTGTTGAACTATTCCAACTAGTTTCCGAGAATAATCTGAGATCTCCTCTGTGAAAGTCCTTATGCAATGTGCCATGTCTAAAATGGAAGCACGGATCTGGTCTGCTTCTGGTTCCAGAACACTGTGCTAAGAAGAAAGCATCAAAAGGAAGCATGAGCAGCCTGTAACATTCTTCCCATCCATACCTCCCTTCACCTCCCCAGCTAGTCTCCCCACCCATGCAATATGGAAGGAGGAAAAAGCAGAACAATCATCTAGAAAAATGATGACGGATGACTAATTTTTGACAGGTGACTGAAACAAATATTCACTGAAGTATGGGAAGCACTATAGCCTCTCAAGTCTTTACAGAAAATCAGGAAAGGTGAAACGTTAAGAACTGGATGGTATCACAAACCAAATGAAACACACTAATAACCATGGCTTGATCAACTTGCAGAGCAGACCTCATGGAACAGGACCTTCCCATTTCCCCCTCCTGACACAGACCACTGAGGTCCTGGAAATTTTGTGCCTGGTGGTCAGTAGACCCTCAGGAACAGCACAGAGATCAAAGCAGGGGACGGAACTGGGAGAGAGGAATCAACAAGAATCACTCCCTTATTTATTTACTTATCATTTAGAATTTCATGCCACCTCTCCAGGGAACCTGAACCTTACAAAATAAAGCATAATAAAATCCTAAAACATTAAAAAATATTAATTAAAACCCAGCATGAAAACCCCAGTCAGAGCATAAAGAAGAAGAGAGAAGAGATTGGATTTATACCC